CTTCGACGCCGGCGCGCCCCAGATGTCTTCAACTTGGTCTGTCGAGCGCGCCTGTCTTCACGAGAGCATCTATCTTTCGCCTCGATACCCAACACTCGGAATATTGTTTCTTCACTACTTCATTAATCTATCACTTTCTGATGGCACATGAACTCTTCGTCTCCTTGGTGTGCTTGATCCCAGTCACCTCGGGATGACAATCTACAGAAACCTCGGACAGCGATACCGTTACGGTATGCCCCGGGCGGACCCATCTAAGGATTGTATGGACGCCGCCCTCGGACGACAAACTGCTGACACCACGTTGCCTGCCGGTCCTCCTTTCGTTCGACTTCATCCGCATCGCCTCACCTCGCATCGCGGCGCTCCTGATCGAATATCGCCTCCGCTTCCATCCGCGTAGAATCTACTCCCAAGATCTCAACCAGCCTGGTATATTTCGCCTTTCAACGCCCGGTGCAGACGTACTGCAAATATATTGTCGACATTGTCGTAGTAGGAGAAAAGCATACTATCGAAAGTGCGATGTGAGAGTGTTCAAGTAGGACGGCATAGACGTAGGGTATGGGTATATGAAAGTACAGCATACGACGCAAGAGGGTGAGCGAATATGTATATATGATCGCGGATATCCATGGGGCTCGCTTAAGACGAGGACACAGAATCGATGACCATAGCGTCCTCAATGGACTGCATGCGGTTCGGACGCGGAGAACCGGGGGGCGAAAGCATCAAGTTGAAGCATTCATTGGGATGCTGATCAGGGTATTAGTACGTCGAATGACACATACTAGAGGCAGATAGACGAAGGCGTACCAATGGGTTAGCGCTTCCGATCTGCGGAACTTGTCAGTCTCGTGCGTTGTTATATCGCAGAAAACATCGGACGTACCTGGGGTATTGAATCGTTACCGTCGAGCTCGCCGATGTCCTTCCCTTGCATCTTCAGTTTCTCGATACGCTTGCGACGCATAAGCGTTGTCTGAAAGACGTCTTCCCTGTAGAACATTGGTCAAAACCTACGTTCGATCAAATCACAGTCGAAGACGTACGTGGCCTTCCTCATAAGCTTGAAGATCGAGCATTTAGGCTCGTCCCTGCCATATGATTCGATCAGCATACGTGCATGCGCTTCGGAAGGAAGAGTATCCTACGTAGCGTGGAGATGAGCGACTGTGAAGGTAGCAAGACAGGTAAGCGGTGATGCTGCCATCGGAAGACGAACGAGCGCACCTGGGTCATGGTAATAGATTTCTTCGACTCCCAAGTCCGTTCGCCGTCACGGCATGCGGCGAGCGATATCTACAACGAAGTGTGTGTTAGTACAATCGCAGCGACGTACGCAGGAAAGATACTCACAACATGCGCCTTTGCCCTCTCCTTCCCAGCCCTCTCCTGGCATTTTCCGTCGCATGTATCAGGCTTGACGTCCGCCTCCGGAGTCGAGCACCGCCGGAGATATTGATCAAAAAAATTCCGTCCGGGGATGCTGTCGACCAACTGCAGAACCTTGTTCTTTGCCAGTGTTCCCACCGCGTTCGAGAAGCTGTGAACTGTGAGCGACCGCTTGGGAGGAGGCTGAGTGCTCGTCGCGGAGTCCGACGTGCGCTTGCGCTTGCCTTTTTGGCGCTGGCGAAACGGGTGAGTGTCGGAACGGTGGCGGCGAGGGACGCGGGCCGCGATAGAATCGAGGCGATAATCAGGCTTCGGAGATCCAGGTACCGCGAGATTGTCGACGGTCGTCGCGACCTCGAACATGACGTCGCGGCTCATCGGCTGATACTGATGGATGCGTAGTTGCGGGCCGGGGGAGCCCCTCTCACGATTGGGCTCGTGCTCGGGGGGGATGGTCTCGGGCTCTACACGCAGAGAATGGAATGGGCATCTCGCTCGCATCAAAGAAGGGGCATGGACGCACCTTCACAGATGATCATCGGCACCGAGGAGTCAGCTACATCTTCCTCCATGTCGGTCGGTCCTGTGGGCTGTGGCTTGGTAGATGCTCGTCGTGTGCTTGCGCGACTTGGGCGCTTCGCTGATCATGAACGGAGTTCATGGATGTGTCGAAAAGCGAACATATAAGGGCTCACATGAACATCCGGAGTGACTCTTGCACGGCTTGCCGGGATTCTGCGTCAAGAAATCGTGGAAGATCTTGTTGCATTCGTAATGCTCGAGGTCCAGAAGTGTTCCAGAAGTGCAGGCGTCGAATATGGCAGTGAGGCACGATCCCTGTGGAAGCCTTTCCACGAGGTGAAGTCTCAGCTCCTGACGACACAGTGAATGTTAGGAGGACTGATTGAGTTGGCCGTGAGGGTACATACATCGTCGAGGATAGGCTGGACCTCGTCATTGAACCATATAGCTAAAGGGTATCGTCAGAATCACTGGGCTTAGGTCACAACAAGTTACCTTCGTCAAACCCATCAGGCTCTGTGTCGGTAGGGACTTGAGATCCGTGTCCCGAGTCTAGTTGCATGCCTTGAGATACGAAGTGTACGCACGAGTAGATAGACTCACAGTAGAACATGAGCTTGTCTCCGGACCTTGCGCCGTCCACAAACCTCTTGATCTGACTAAGCTGTCGCACCAGGGGGGAGAGGTCCGCTTCGGATCGCAAAAAAAGTTATAGGCAGACGTACCACGTTCTCCCTCGTAGGTTGCAGAGATTCAGGCGTCACAGCGTCATCGAGCATGAGAACGATCTCGTCTTCGACGAAGCCGTACTTCTCTGGAGCAATGACAGTAGCAATGAGCTACGCGCGCGCGATAGTCGATGGCAGATCGCCCGCAGGACTAACCGACAATGAGGTCCCTCCACGCCTTGGCATCTCGGTGCGGCGAGCAGAGCTTCGCCTGCGAGCTGCCGCCGATCCCGATGATTAGGGCGCGTCGCAGCTTGGAGCGCTTTCCGAGCCTAGTCCGACGCATGGGAGAGAGGAGAGATCGCGGAAAAGAAGTGGACGAGGCGGTCGCGCGGAGGGCTCGCGCGACGCACCAGTGGGGATGGGGGATGGCTCCATGGTCGCTTTTGTACCCGATTCGCCCTGACGTCGGCGGGATGAAGGCGCTGTATAGCGATGCGGAACGAGGATGCCATGGCTGTGGGGCTTATCCAGTTACGGGGAGGAGGAGGAGGAGGCGGGTGACAGGTTTGTGGGCGTCGAGGGAAAGGAGAAGGGGTCGGCCATCGTGGCCTCCGAGCAAATTCCCACACTCATTCGACCGATATCGGATCCCGAGCCGCATGCTCCGTCCGCCTCCGCCTCCGTCCATCCGCAAGCAGCTGAACAGACGGCAGCGAGACTGGTCTCAGAGCCGTGTGTTTGGACGCAATGAACACCTGTATGACGCGGGGCTGAGCGCCGATAACTGGTCACTCCACTCAGTTAGGCTGTACCGTAGACAAGAGATAACAGTACAGCACGTCCACACAATGGCGACCGTATCATCCACGGGGCCTACACGCCCTCCCATCGGCATGAGTGAGGGACAAGAAGCCAGGTGCCAGTGAGCGTTTCAGCCAGACACATGGCTGTCCGAGCGTGTTTGCGTCCCTGGGCCAGAACGTCCGGCTGCGGTCGGGAATACTCGCCCACCGACTGGACCGTAAGAGCCACGTTGCGGACAGACGATAGCTAAGCGTTGAACAGGAATAGACGTGCGTACCGGATGACACGCGGATGACACGCGCACTAGCGTTATCCGATGTGAGCCTGACTGCCCACACGAGACTCGAGAGTACTTATGAATCGGATCAATGGACATACCTGAACTATTTCTCATTAAAAGGCCGCTCACGGCCGGACTGCCGACGGCCAATTTGCACGCTCGAGGCGTGCACGGTCGAGACGCAGCTCGAGGACATTTGCCACGTGCCGGCGAAGAAGACCAGAAGCTAGAAGGACCGCAGAATGGCACGAGAGTGTGACTTCAGCAAGAAGCAAAGAAGCTCAGGCACAAAATCATCTTGTTCATGTCTCGCTTAGCTCAGAGCAGCATAGTGAACCGAAGTCTGAACCTAGAGCGCACCAGGCGGAGCGAAGCGATACAGACCACAGCGCGCATGCGACAGCGACAGAGAGTACGAGGACAAAGACAGGAAAGCGGGGGACCAGTGACGAGGATGTGATGGAGACGGGCTGCTTATATATGACATCAGCTGCGTGCTGATAAGGGGGAAAATAACTTTACTCCGCCCCGCACCCGGACCTCCCCTCGCTGACCAATGTAACGAAACGCAAACATCAACAGTCTCGAATCAAACAGACGATGAATACATACATATGTCTCACATTTCGAGCGTTCAGTCTCCACTACTGTTACCAGACGGTACAAGTAATGGGACATGTGAAATCCTATTGATGACGTCATCTACGACCCGGGATGCCTGCAAGGTCGTACTAGACTCAACGAAGTGCCAACACATGGAGGTATATTAAAGCATGAGCGTATCTTACATAGTTGCGACTTGACGATAGATTGCACCCGGAGAAGCATACGGACCATGTGTGACATAGGATCGTTAATATGGCCGACCGACTCAAAATCCGAAAACTATGCGTGTGTGGAGGGTGTGAACAGGAAATCGGTATTGAGATGAAAAGCGTGTATGGTATTCTTTCGTGGAGGCACACACTTTACTTGTCCGGCTCTGCGCTCAAGTTCTTCCTGGGGAATAGTGCCTGAGCGGCTACCGGAGCAGTGCTACCACCGCGCCAATCCTGAGTACCAGCTGCAATCGAAGCGTCCATCGAAGCGCTTTCGTATAGTAAAATAACAGAAGCTACTGAATGATGGTCCGTAGAGTATCCGTGAGCATAGCGATCAAAGGTGGATGCCGACCGCCGCGGCGATCGACGCGAGCGGGAGGTTGACCTCGACCGCGGTCGTGAGCGAGAGCAGCTCCGAGGCGATCTTGTTGATCAGTCCGGGTGTCGATGTGATAGTCGCCGCCGAAGAGGTTGTCGTCGTAGAGGTCGTAGTGGCCACATTCGTCGTCGTCGTCACCGAGGTTGTCGAGACCGCAAGGTCATCGACCGCAGTGTCGGAGGGCGCGCCCATGCTTCCGCTGCCCGACGGCATGCCCATGCCCATGCTCCCAGAGGGCATGTCGCCGCTCGGCGCCCCGCCCATAGAGTCCGAGCTGTCGTTCGCGACGCCGCCATCCTCCGTAAGCGTCGCCGCCGCCGTGACTGTGTACGCGGCGTCCGCCGAGGTGTCGATGCCGATCGCGGTCCAGAGCATCAACCCATCCGAGACGTCCTCCCCGAGGTACACCCACTCGGCCACGGGTCGATGTCCGCCGCCTCGGAGGAGAGGATCGAGTCCTCGGCGTTTGTGGTGAGCTCCTGCGTGTTGGTGCTGTACGGCGCCAGGGCCTCGACCTCGCTGATCAGATCCTGGTCGAAGAAGATCTGGCCGACGTGCGAGACGTAGGTGGAGGTGTAGGTGCTGTTCTCAAACGAGGTCCCGTTCTCGTGCGCGAGGATGTGAATGTGCGTTGCGCGGCTGGTGTAGTGGCCCGGAAAGATCGAGAGCCACTGCGCGACGCCGTCCTCGTTTGTGGCCTGGATGCCGCGCAGGAAGGTGGTGTTCTGCGGAAGAGACGACGCTCAGTGTGGTCTGAGAATCGGCAGCTGGTGAGGGCAACGTACGAGGTTCTCGGGCTCTGACGCGCTGTTGCCGTTGCCGTTGGCAGAGATACCGGAGTAGACACCGGTCGCGTTCGCGTGCCAGAAGTCGAGGTAGACGTTTGGGACGGGCTCGCACGTGTTGACGTCGATGATTTGGACGTCGACGTAAATATCGACGCCCTCCTGCTCTTCGCGGACGTCGTAGCGGACGTACTCGCCGGTCACGTCTGCGAGACGCTATGAGACACAGCGACGGGAGGCAGGACGAAGAACTCACAGTAGGGGCCATCGGTGACCTCTGGCGCGAGGACGCAGGAACTGTTGCCTGAGAAGAGGACGGAGGCGTCGGTGTTATTCGTGACGCCGGTGAGGTTCGACTGGTGGTCGGTACTGAGGACGGTGTCGAGATCACGCTTCAGGAAGGGAGCATCGCGGCCTGAAAGACCGTCAACCATGCGATAAACATCGATGCACATGAAGACACATACGGATCTTGTGCGACTCGCGCGCACCCTTGGCGAATGCCTCGCGACGCTGGATGGCACGGTCGTAGACGCCATCGCGCTTGCGGAGGGTGGCCTGGCAATCGGCGAGGGAGCGACGGGCCTTGGTCTGGAACTCCATGCGCTTCTCGAAGGCCTCAGTGCCTGCCGTGGGATGCGGGTGGGCGGAAGCGATGGTGACGGCGGCGAGGGTGGTCGCGAGGAGAGAAGCGAAGTAAACCATTGAGGCTGTGTGGAGCGAGAGGGGCGGGAGAAGGAAACGAAGTTGGAGACTGTGGAAGGGAGCGAGGGAAGATCGTGGTATGGAGTCTCTTCCAGACTTTCGCAGCCCTTATAAGGCGCGACCGCTTGAGCGCAGTTGCTGCGCAAGCAGTCTTTGGCCAGATGCAAGGCGGGAAACATACGGCTGAATATTGACGACAAGGCTCTCTGAAGGGATTGCGATATGTTCGGGCTGCGGAAGTGCAAGTGCGTCAGAGACATTGAAGGCGAACCGCGCACTATGGCTGCGGTGGTGTTGACCCGCCCAATGGCGTGGAGAAGTGATCGAGGATGCCAAGATCGCTGTGCCTCCTTCTCATATTTTCCGGGGTTGCTCCGTGCACCGCTCTTCATCGCATCGGCTCGTGGCTTGGCATCACCGGGCTTTGCGTCCTCACACCGAGGGGTGTGACCAGAACCAACATACTAGAAATGGCCCATAGCAGAATTGTGAGCTGCGACATCTGAATAAGTACCAACAGGAGTAGACAGAAGACTCGGGGCGCCGGACGACGCGACTTACGAGTTACAACATACCTGGGAGATTGTTCACTCGACGCAGTGATGGTGAAACGTAGCCGAGCAATCACCCGACCTGCGGTCGACGCTCCATTTGACAAAGTCCTGGTGAATGCCTGCTCGAAGAACACGGCTCTGTCTGGACAGAGGTCGTTGTGTTCGTTCACGGTAAAGGGGAGAAGTGGGACTCCGGCCCGGGTGAGCAATCGGAGAGAGATAAGCGGAGAGTGAAAAGTAACTTCGGAATCCGGATATTCAACTGGCGCACGAGCCACTCGCCGACCCGGATGTCGCGTGCGCGAGTTCGACTCTCACACTGTGACTTTGCTTTACCCCCTCACGTTCGAGCAAGAAAGTACCGAATCTCGTCTCCACGCGCGTTCTAACGCATCTTTTCGACCCAGATTCGGTATCCCCCATGCCCGACAATACCCTTGACGATTCATTCCTTGGCCTATTATTCAACCGCCTTCGCGGCGGGGCACAACCCACCGGCCCAATTCGCAGTATGCAAGCGACGACTCCACGAGTCTTGGACACGACCCGACGAGCCTTCCCTTTCAAAAGTCCTCCGAAAACCCGTCAAGTCCACCTGCATCTTCATCGGGTACTCACCCTCAAGTTCCCATTCTCTTATTCCCTCGTGTGGTTGTTACACCTGCTCCTCAAGGATTCCACGCTTACCCACTCCAAGAGCCAAGCAGCAGCGCGTCGCCGTCCTCTTCAAACCAATGCCAGCCTTCCCGGCGGCGTTTGCTGCGCGTGAACCCGCTCCTTTCGCGTTCCAGTAGGGCCCAAACGAGGATCGCCTACGACATCATAGATCGACCAGGTCCCAGGAACGTCCTCGATCGCCTCACGCGACGCCCATTTGCCCTTGCCCGCTTTTGCAGCCGGCAACATACCCACCTACAGTGCGCCTCATCTTGCATTCGGACAAGTTTCCAAATGTGATCGTCGTGGACGCCAACGTATGCAAATTGAACACCGGAAGTTACGGCGGCGGCAGGATAACAGGGGTGGGGGCAGCTCGGAAAGGCAAACGGAGGGATCATACGGCCGTGAACGCCATGCAGTATGTTTCCATCATCCTCGACGTCCTGCATGCCGTCTACACTTCGTTCTCCACGCCACTCTCCCCCACGGAATGGTCTGCCCTCGGCGGTGCGAAGAGCTGGAAGGCCGCTAAAGCCTACGGTCGCCGGATGCAGGCGGGTGGTACTGGCGATTGGAAGCAGGGTGTCTGTCACCTCGACCTCGAAGGGGAGACTGTGTTGGTTGGCGTTGAGACTTTCAGCGTTGTCAACGTTCGCTCCTCTGTTGGGCTAGGGAGAGTTTTCTTTGGCGTCCTCTGTGAGACCCGTTAAGCATTGTGTTTTAGCATTGGATGCGCTATATGGACGTGTCTATGTCGATTCCGAGACCCGCTGTTCTTGTAGGACGGACCGGCTCGACGCCCCCACCCTTTCTCGGCCAGGGTTTGTTTAATACTTCACATAGTAGTCCATCGTCTACTCTCTGGTAGAGAATACCCCGCCTCTTTTGTAACCTGGGCACCCGGAGGTGTATCCCAGTTACCTTGTTGACCTTGTCAAGTGCAGTGAACACGCGGCAATGGTGCCAACTCGTCCAGTGTGAAGTGATCCGTGGTCCGGTCCGTACATCGTATCTATCACAACAACGCCTCTCACTGCGTCTCCGCGATCCGCACCACCAGCTTCACCCCGCTCACCTTCCCTCCATCACTCTCTTCGCGCCCTCCGGGATCCCGCTCAAGCCCCCAGGGATCACCTCGACCCGGTTCGGCTTCACCGTCCCGTCCGCGAGCCATCCCGTCAGCCGCTTGTACACCTCAACTCCCAGCGCCTGATTCGGCGACACCTGGAAGCTCGCGAACAGCCGCGCGACCCGCTTCCCGTCGCCCTCGCTCTGCACTGGCGCGAGCACCTCCGGGCCCGCGCGTGGCATCACGGAGACGAAGCCGCCGTGGTCGCCGAGCGCCGCGTACGCGAGCCGCTGCGTGTCCACTTCCCCGATCGCGTCGTATGCGAAGGCGACCGGCGCGTCCGACGCGGCGGTGGAGACGGCGGCGAGGAGCTCGGGGGTGGGGAGCGCGCGGTCGACGACGTGCGTCGCGCCGAGGGACCGGAGGAACGCGGCGTGCTTCGGGGCGGCGGTGGTAACGACGGGCGAGAAGCCGTTCATGCGCGCGGCTTGGATGGCTGTGTGCGCTTCTTAGCGGTGAGAAGGGTCGGAGAGGTCGACAGAGACGCACCGAATTGGCCAACAGAAGAGGAGCCGCCGACGATCACTGCAGGCTTGCCTGCGTACTTGGTCGTGCCGCCCTCCTCCCAGGGCGCGGGCAGGCCAATCGAGGTCGGGCCCTCTGGAGCCCACATCCCCGTGACGGCTGTTGCGAAGCCAAGTGGGACGGTCGCGGCGTCCTCGAAGGACATGCTATCGGGAATCTTAGCTTGTGGTCAGCTGGGTAGTTCGAACAGAAAGATTACACTCGCGGGTGCGCACCTTGGCGACATTGTCCCCATGCATGGCGCTATATTCTTTGTGACCCGCGTCCAGAGGTGCGAATTCGCCCGGGCAGAGACTGCCAACGGCAAGAAGCCAAGCCCATCAGCGAACACCTAGACAGAGACAACAAGAGAAAGCTACGCACATCCTATCGCCCTTCTTGACGCTCGTCACGTCCGCGCCCACCTCCTCAACGACGCCAGCGACGTCGAACCCGCCGAGGAACGGGTAGTTCTGGATGAACGGCGCGCCGAACGCCTGGATCCTGGCATCCGCGGGGCAAATGCCCGCGGCGACGATCTTGACGAGTACCTGGTGTGCCTCAGGGGTCGGGACGGCGAAGTCGCTGACGAGCTTGAAAGGTGCCTTCTCGGCGGGAACGATGAGTGCTTTCTGCGTGTCGGGGCCATCGGTGTTGGTTCAGGGTTTTCTTGGAGGAGTAGATGCTGACGTCGGAGCAGCACGAACGCACTATATACACGGTTGAACAGACCCCGTATACCGTTTTACCCAGCACTGCACGATGCGTAAGCTAGTTTCGGTGGTCTGTGGGTCCATCAAGAGTGGGTCCCGGCTGGTCGCTATTCACCGGTCGGGCCTGAATAGATGACTTTTGACATCTAATACGTTGCCGCGCACGTGGGCGAGGTGGGTCTCGCTTAGTCAGCAAACGGAAGCAGTACCGACCGGCGACTATACATTGTTTGAGTCAGATCTTTACGTGAGTCAATAGCGTAGGGAGGAGGTGGATCGACACCCCTAGCGCCCGGAGTATCCGCCAATGGAGCCGGCGCGGTGCTCCGAGTCGAAGTTCGAATCCTGATGGTCACCTTTTCCCAGAGCCTCCTGCATCTTTGGTCTCGTCCTCCGCCGATCTGTACCTCACCCGGTCACCGCCTACACTTTACGAGTGGTTATGCTGTCATTTTCTTATATAACAAGAGTCTTTTCAGAATCTTCACTTTCACTCCGAATCCACGATCGCGCTCCCTCTCGCGCCTATCCGGAGGGCTCCGCCGGCTGCCATGGCGCCGAGCGCCGCGTACGCGTTGAGCCGCTCCGTGTCCCCATCTCGATCGCGTCGTACGTGAAGGCAACCAACGCGCCCGACGCGGCGGCGGATACCGCGGCGAGGAGCCGGAGGTGGGGAGCGCGCGGTCGACGACCTGCGTCGCGCCGAGGGACTGGAGGAGCGCGGCGTGCTTCGGGGAGGCCACGGCAATGATGGGCGCGAAGCCGTTCATGCGCGCAGCTTGGATGACTGGGTGCGCTTTTCAGTGGTGAGAAAGGTCGGGAAGGTCGACAGAGAAGCACCGACTTGGCCGACGGAGGAAGAGCCGCCGATAATTACCATAGGCTTGCCTGCGTACTTGGTCGTACCGCCCTCCTCCCAGGGCGCGGGCAGGCCGGTCGGGCCCTCTAGACCCCACATCCCGGTGACGGCGGTTGCGAAGCCAAGGGTAGAAGAAGGGAATATGTCGTGAGGGCCTTTCGATACTGTAGCTAACCTTAGACTGTGCAGGATGATCTAGCATACACACGGCGGCCCCACTCAAGCTGCGAGCCGCCAGCATCTGGGAGTCCCTTGGGAGTCCCGACGGACGAAAAGCAGAGGCTAGCGGAGGACCACGCGCGGTCACATTTGAGCATGCCGAGGGACAAGATAGCATCAGGAGTCCATTGCGTGACAAACTCGATTCCGAGAAGATGGGTATACAGCACGATACAGTTCCAGAAACCGATAGTTGCAGTCAGTTTAGCTCGCGAAGCCCTAGCAAGAGAGATCATTGAGTAGATCGTACTCGTTCGTCATGGGAAAGTCGTATAGAATCATGTTGCGAAACCCGCACAGCTCGAGTCCCTACTCGATCTTTTTGTGCGAGAACTGCAAGGAAAGCGAAGAAACCACATCAGCACATGGCCTTGATATGCTATCATTTCAATACACAGAGACGCAGACGCACCAGAGTGACGACGGTACCGTCATTTAATTGTTCCTTGTGGGGGATGAGCTCGTAGCCAAGATATCCTGGCAGCACGCGCCACGCCGCCCAGTAGACCACGCCAGCGGCCATGACTCCAATCCCAACAAGACAATACCTGCGTGTGTGCGCATCAGCGTGTACTCCATGGCGATCGCACAGAAGAGACACACAGGTAGTACGGGAGCGGGGGAGTATCGCCGACACCATTCGCGGGCTTGAGGAAGGGCGCAACGAGCACTGCAGCAGAGATGTCATGAGCATGAACAAGATATACGATCGGGGTGAACATACGGAAGACGGAAGCCGCCGAGAAGAATACCGCGAGCGGCCACCAGACTGCACGTGCGCGTCAGTACAGATCACAGGCTAAAGCCGGACCAACACACCCTTGAAGGGCCGCGGGAGGTTCGGCTTGTGCCACCGGAGGTAAAAGAGACCGACGACGATGAAGAAGTTGATGATCTGCTGCGGGTACCCTTCAACATCCAAGATGAAGGGATATGCGACTGAAGGTGGAGGCCCGAGGATGACGATCACCTGCGTGCCGAACGTCAGCCATGAACCCAGTGGGAAGCAGAAGGTGCGAAGGAAGGCGAGGAAAGGGTATACGCACAGAAGGGATCATGTGAATGATCAGGCCGGGAAAGGGAGACTTCCCTGTGGGCCAGTTTGAAGCCCAGAATCGACTGCCGAAGGGGAGAGGGATGCCTTCTTTGGCGAGCTCTGAAATTGGTGATTAGACGTATTCCCCGGGAGGCAGGTGGTGGAAGGACGAACCCTGATTCACACGAGAAGCAGCAAATGTCTAGGTCACCGATGATTGGCACTCGTGCATGAAATCAAGTAAAAAATGAGACGCACGATAGTGACAACATTCTGTAGGAGTTTTGGTGAGGAAGCATTCACCGTTTGACATGACGTCACCACTTACTCTGTGATCCAGGTCAACCGGAGATAGATTGCGTGCGAGTCAGTTTTATACGCCCATCCTATTGATCAAGAATACCCACCCAAGAGCACTGGCTTTGTGTCAGAACGTGACGGAGGAGGAGCCTATGGGAGTACTTACCTCAACGCAACGAATACCGTCAGTGCCTTCTGCGCGGTCGCACCGAAAACCTTCTTGAAGAACAGACTCGCAACCGTCACGCCAGAGTTTGAAATCTCCTCCTTCGTCGCCGCGCTGTAAGATGGAATCAAAAGCGGGCTCGGACCCGGGATAAGAAAGCGACGCACGCGAAGTAGGCAACGTTAGCGAGCAGGTAAAGCACAGCGCAGATCCCTAGCCCGAGCGGACCTGCGATCTTGAGCGTGCGCACGGGGTTCTTGACGTTGTTGAGCACGTAGTTGACGTTCGACCAGCCCGCGTACGTGTACAGTACTTTGAAGGTCGCCGTGGCATACTGGTGATAAGCACAGCACGGCTCAGCGGCCGTCGCGAGGCAGAGCAGACAAGGTACAACGCACGTCGTTGCTGCTATGCGAGCTGCCGGCGAACGCGTTGTGGAAGTGCGTGTGGGAATCTTTGATGCTGGTGGCTCCCGAGAGCACGACCCAACCTGAAGCAGAACTATCAGCTTGACACCCCGAAGGAGCCACTAAAACCCAACCCGTGACGACAACGAAGACGAGGATCACGATTTTGAACACACTCAAGCCCTGTTAAATTGGGACGGGGATAAGATATGCGAACAGGACACAAAGAAGTGCAGTCTCACATTCATCACGTAAACACCAAGACGCGGGGTCAGTCCGTGAAGAAGCGTCACGAAGAAAATCACTGCCCGATACAACAAAACTAGCATTAGGGCAGCAAATCCAAATGACCGTCCCGTATGGCGCACCTGCGAGAGCGATGCCACGCGTCACCCAGCGATCGGCGGTGTGTCCTGCAGTCACGAGAATGCTATGCTACCTCAGAAACAAGCCCCCTTATGCGCTTAGGGGCAGTGACGTACTTCTGTGCAAAGACCTGAGGACAACCGCAAAGGCAATCAACCGTACTGTCAGATTGGAAGGATCACAGAGGCGTACGATACATCCGGACGCCGTGAAGCCGAGCAAAATCGCGTTTGCGGCGAAAATGACGGTAACAAGGTACTTCGGCTTCTTATAGGCGGCTTCCAAGTAGACCTTCTCTCCTCCCGAGCGCGGGAACATGGTCCCGAACTCAAGCCAGATGAACAGGCCACAGAAGGAGAGGACGAAACCGAGGACCCATAACATGAGCGACGCGCCGATGGAGCCGACGGAGTTGAGGATCGAGGAGGGGGTGGAGAAGATACCAGTACCGATGATACGGCCGACACTTGACGCGAGTGGTGGAGAATTGGAGTGAGTGTATATGCGCATGAAAAAAGACGGAGAGAACTCACATGAGCAGTGTGCAACTGAACACGCCTAAATGACGGCCCATACCCCCGGCAGCGTCTTCCCCAAGTCTCAGCGATGGCCGGATGAGATGGTGAGACGAACGGACACACCTTCCTCGAACGTCAGCCCACCTGGATTCACCCCCGGATCGACTGCGGTCGTGAGCTCCTTGGAGGCCGCGTCGTCGTCGTCGCTGTCCACCACTCCCTTCTCGTTCTTGACATCGAGCTGCGGATCCTCTGCGATCACGCTCTCTACCTCAGCCTGCTCTCTGGGCTGCGGAGTGCGTCGCAAGCTTGAAGGCAGAAACTGGGTGAACGACGCCATTGTGAATTTTCGTCGTCACCTTGCGCGTCGGTTGGCGCAGACGGACAAGGGGCGAGAGGGTGAGGGAGGACACGTCCCGAAAGCGCGTCGGCGAGGGCGAGGAGCATTAATGGCGAGTGTATTAATAGGCTTCTCGGGCGAGGGCATCTTGAGGCCCAGGAGAGCAAGAAGGAGATAAGTCTCTGGAAAGCCCGCGGTAAGGGCGCGGGCGATTGGAAGAGGCGGAGCACTCACGTTATGTCCCAGCGAGTAAAGGTAATCGCGCCTTCCGCCATTCGCGCAAGGCATGGCGAGTGCCGCGAGTGCGCGATGCAGATAAGGAAATGGCGGCGGACACCGTTGCCGGCATCGCTCAAACGGACACAGGCTGCGATAGAGCCTTCGGAGCGGTGAATGCAGCACACGAGAGCCTCACACGACGCCGTGATCTCGGCCGAGCTCCTTTGATCTCGCTGCCACGGTCACGTGAGTCCCCGCGTTCTCGGAATCAACTTCGGCTCTGTGCCTTCAGCCCTCCCCTTCCCGCTCTCTTTCACCGGGGGACTCCCTGTCTCTGGCGAATCGGCGCACGCCCCCTACCCCCCATCGAGTTCAGGATCAGACTCGTCGGGTCCACCCTCTCCCTCATTCGCAGGCGCGCTCAACCCCACCTGCCCCATCCCTCTATCGCTGTCGGCTTGCCGACAGTCCGACTCGGTTCTCTGAACGACCCGCGGCGCCTTCGGCCGCACCCCTCTCCTCAACTGCCTTCGGGCGAGCGACCCGTCATATGCGGTATGTGGTCAGACGAACGCGGAATACAGTCTTAGCTGCGTAGTTATGCGTACATATGTGACTTGTAGGGATAGACAGAACATAATAATAATAAAATCTGTGCCTTCTCTGCTGAGTGCATATACCCCGAACGTGCATATCTCCGTTCGGCGTCAGCTCTGCATAGGATTGTGTCCCTCTGCCCGTCACTCTGGACGACTACGACAGGTTTCCGTTCCACATCGGCTACGGTTTCAGCCACTGCCCACATACAAATTCACTCTGTATCTACACTATGCCGCCCTCGCCATCCAGCTTATTTGGGGCTTAAGCGTTGTCTGACAGGCTTTTTACTCCCCAGTTCCAAACTCGTCCCCCAGCGTGACAAGACAAACCGGTTCAGGTTGCGGGGAAGTCCAAGCCTAAAGCAAATACATGTCGCTCAAGGCAGCGACATCCACGCCGCCAACAGCTTCTCAAAGTCCGGTGTGCCCAACCCAGTGACGGGGTCCCAGCCCGGCGCGGCGACGAACCCGAGGTCCTGGTTCGGCCCGCACGCGAAGTTGTCGCCCGATATGATGTCGTGGAACACATCCGCGAACGCGGACGAGTACAGCTACAATATTGCCAACCATTCAGACCCAGAAACGAGAGACGACGGAGGGAACGCACCGCGGGGTTCGCCCAGCCCACCACCGACTTGCCCGCGGCGAGCCGCGCGTCATTGACCGCGGAGATGAGGGCGGCCCAGACGGGCGTCGAGGCGGAGGTGCCGTAAACCCTCCAAAATCCCTGGTTGATGGCCACCTGGTAGTTCAGGCTGGATATATACGCATCAGCATCGTGGCGCTGGGGAGGCAGACGGCTGACGTACCCGAGGGCCGAGACGTCGGGGTACGCGCGCCCGGCGCGGTTGAACGCCTCCGCGCTTATGTTGCCCGTGAAGTTGGCGATGTAGCTCTGGACGGCGGCGTCCTGGAACGACGGGCGGGCGATGAAGTTCGAGAAGCCGCCGCCGGACTTGAAAGATTGTGGCGCGATCTCACGATGCGTGGGCTGCACCGGGGTGCGTCAGCGCGATCAGGGGAGCATCATGGGGGGAAACGCGTACGTCTCCGGCCTTGAGCTCCGTCGCGCCGACCGAGGTGACGTAGGGGCAGGTGTTGCCGATGTGCGGCGCGAAGTCGGGTTCACCGACATCGGGGTAGCCGATGGCGTCGACGCAAACGTTGCTGAACGTCGCTACGCCGTTGTCGCCCGAGCTCATGAGGAACGTGATCCCAGTCAACGCAAGCTGGAACATGTGTCAAAGACGAATGCAGGCAGAAACCAGCGCACGAACCCACCTTGCCATACTCAGTACATTGCCTCTGTGCGGCGATCGAGCCAAACACGAACTCAGCTTGGTCGTAGGAAATGGATATGACGTCTGCCCGTGGCTTCGTACCGCAGTCCTCTGGACGGCAATCAAAACATAAGATGGGAAGAATCGCATATAGGGATACCTACCGTTATTATCGGACTGTTCTGGTTGCGACGAGTTCGCCCCCTCAAGGGTGCAGTAGTCAGCGTCGAGCGCCTTGAGGAGGAGGTCATACTGCAAGTAAGGGAAGCTGGGACCACCTAGGGGCCTATGTCAGAGGCACAACACATAATCGAAGTGAGCCAAGAAAACCACCTTCATTCGTGACCTGGTACTGAAGCACTTGCGCCTCCTCGCCCAGAAGACCCATGGCGTACTGGAAGTCGAGGTTCGGCTCGAGGAGAAGGTCCGAGTCGGTTATGGACTGATTCGAGATCCCTGCTCCATAATTAGCCGTTGGTCCCGACGGACGCACCCGCACCCGCACCTCCATCAATGCTCACGAAAGTAGGAGTCTTGTTCGCAAGATCGGGGGCGTAGTTCTCGAAGAACATACGTAGGTCCGCAAGGTTGAGTGTCTCCATACCGAACTCAACTGCCATCACGAGATCAGCTCCGTCCCACGGCGGCCACGTGAGAAACGAGACTCACCGATGCCGATCGAGTGCTGTTCAGGCACTACGAGGTCGTAGTTGAAGTTGTACAACGTCCGCAGACAGTCGAGCGTCATCGCGTAATAGCAGCTCGGAGGGGGGGTAGGATAACTCGAAGCCTAGAGCCACATTCACACATGCGCGCACCACGCAGGACCGTACGTGAACACGCACCAGCCGTTCTGCCGCTGCGGGCTTGAAGTCCGAGGGCGAGCCCTTCGCCGGCGCCCGCCCTGCCGTATTGTCCGCCGTGCGCTTCGAGAGTGGGACGACATCAAAGTGGATCGTCGGCCAGACGGTGTCCACATGCTTCGCGACGTGCGAGGGGAGGTGGTAGCGGTCCCCGCACGCGACGTGCCGTGTGCCGTCCGTGTGTTCATAGACGTAGTACTCCGCATCGAGCAACGCCTCCGCCTCGGCGACAGACACGCTCATGTCGAGATACCCGCCATCCTTGCTGAGCCGGACGCGCGACGCGTCCACCCCCTCCGCGCTCGTAAGCCACGCGCGCACAGTGTCGACCGACTCGTCCGTGGGGCGGAACGTCGCGGCGACCTTGGCCGGGGACCAGTGCTTGCCGTAGTTGGGCGAAGCGGGGTCGGCGACGTCAAGGAGGTACGCCTCGAGGTGTTCGATGTTGGGCTGGGAGAGCGCGAAGGAGAGCGGGACGACCATGTCGGGGTCTGCGCGGCGGTGGAGGGACCATCCGCGCGGGGTAGCGGCGCGGCGTTCGTGCACGACGCGTGGCGAGATCGTCGTCGCCCCGACGAACTGCGCCGCGAGCGCGAGCGCGGTGACCCCGAGAAGTTTACAGAACGACCTCGAGAGCATGAGAGAGTCGGCGGAGTAGAGGGCGAGGGGAAGAGGAGGGACCAGGGCCCGATGGCGACATGCGCCTTATAACCGGCGGCTGTCTGGCAACGCGCCGAAAGGCGGACAACAATGTTGTGCGGTGGACGCAGGCCGCCGCACGCCGACGGCACCTCCGGTTGAGCAGCAGGTTGAACACGTCGCAGCACCACTTACCACGGCAGTGGTGAATTAAGCTATCTGGGGTACAATGGGTCAGTCACGCCTTTGCAGGCCTTTGCCAGCAGTGGAAGCCCTTGGAATCCTGGACTCGCAAATCAACGACCGCTCTCCCTGCCAAGCACCAGTGTCGGCGTGACGACCGAGACATGCAGTGTGATCTGAGTCCAGGAAGGAGGGTTTCGGCCGGAGCAGTGAGTACAGAGATGGCCCTGACGCTATGCGGCCGTGGATGTCAAAGCAAGAGGTAATGGCACCATTTGTAAGCATATAGAGAGGCGGCGAGCTCGAGCCCAAGATCATGCACATATGCAAGATGGATGGTGTAAATGGATATAGAGGTACTCACCTTGTTCAAGACATTCCTCCTCCTCATGCGGATACTCCAGCCTGGTGTTGCAGCCATGTCTTGCTGACGGTTCCAAAAAGGAACGCCAGGCGGCTCGGCCGGAGCGCGTCTGGGCTGGAGAAGCTGGTGCCTGGCGGTGGAACTCCGATGATGCGGGTTCGCCCGGGCGCCTCCATGAGCGCGGGTTCGAATCCCGATAGAGACACGCCCACATTCACCCATCTTCCTTTCTCATCGACATCGTTCGCCATTCTCGGGAAGGTATCAACGGATGTGCGGCATCGAGGGCATAAACGTATGTAGGGAAAAACATGGACGGAAGGTTGGCTTATTGAATTAGCGAAGAGATGTGTGTAGTCCCCGTCGCTTCAGCGAGCTCGAAACAAGCCGTTCCAAACCAACTACGAGACCGCCCCCGCGGCTTGCCGAATGCCATGCGCCTGCACCGGACACCCAAAGATGAGCCTGTTAGGACCTGCGAGAGGGCGCTGGCGGACGACGAGGAGGTCCACGACGCCAACCAGCGCACACTCCTGCTCGAACCGACCGACGTCCCGAACAATCGCTTCCCAGTCGTCCTCACCGCCCTCACGTACGAGCGCAGGGCAACGAGACGCGACATCTCGTGCCACCTCATGTCCGCTTCATAGGGAGCGCTGACGCAGAAGAGCCGTGCCCACTCCTCCATAAACAGAGGCGGGCGAAGGCCGTGTGAACCACGTGAATCACGTCGAGGATGGACACATACTGGTTCGCGCGGCCTGCGTGTCTGCAGGCCGTCAATCTCCTCCCATGCGTGGGAACACTTTACTAGTAAGTAGTCATCCTCATTTTGATAGAAGTTGCTTATGTACCAATGATATCCTCTGACAGGAAACTCAAGTACTTACGTGCTAGAAGAGGTCTAAGTCATGGATAAAGAAACAACACTGATATCGGGAATGAGTAGTGCAGGAAGTTCACAAGTAACCTAGTGGGGTGTCATCAAAACACACTGACATGTGGGTATAAGTATCGAGCTATGTCTACCGGAGACGGTCAATCGCAACACCGATTGAGTCCACAAATCCACAGCAAGATCTTCATGATCACCAGAAAACTCCGTCGATGAACGGGTAGCTCTGGAAACACCGCTTGGATCTAGGCGAATTGATGATTGCTAATCCACAAAAGGCAAGCCTGGCGGACGGCTTCGTGACGTCACCAACACGGCCATTTCGCGTTCTCATCTCGCTCATCCTTCGCCCAGTGGGCCGCCGTTGAGGTGGAAATGCTGTCTGGCGTGTCCCCGGGGTGTCTCAAGCCTCAATATTCAATCTCCAGCCTCCAGCCTCCGAGATTATACCACCCGACGCAGAACGCACCCCACAAGTATCCCGACAAGCCCGAGGCTCGTGTACGATCAGGGGTGCGAAAGCAATGCCCCTATCTCGTCGCTGATTGTGAGCCTCCCAGTCTCCGATTCTCTCTGCTGTGGTATACCTGCGGCTCGTCAACAGGTCAACCCGCCTACTGTCATCCACCCAATCGCAATGGTTCGCCGCCGCCCAGACGCCCCCGAAGGCTATCAGGACGAGTCGCACAAGCTCAAACGACCGCCCTTCTTCCTTCGTGTCTGCAGCCTTCTCCTTTTACTCGCCATTTCCACTCAGGCGTATCGCATCTCAGTTCGAGCACGCTCCCCTGTTCCTCCCCGAGCCAGATTTCCCCCCCGGGACTTCTATACCAAGTAAGCCACCGCACTACCATGTGTCTTTATAATTCTTTACATCAAGTACATACACAGCCGCACAGGAGATACAGGCGCGGAAACAGGAGTGGGAAGCCTGGCAGCAAAAGCGGCGAGATTTTGAGCGAGAGCGGCGAGACTTTGAGCAAGAGCGGCGAGACTTTGAGCAAGAGCGGCGAGACTTTGAGCAAGAGCGGCGAGAGTGGGGGCAAGAGCGAGCACGCTTGCTGTGAGCGATCGCTGAGCAGCATTTGCAACGCAGTCCGACCACTACAAGGTATGTGATCTGAAAACATAGAGCGCACTCGTAGCATTCATTTCATCTCATCTCCCCTACCTCTCGAGCCCCACTGCGGGTTCCATCGCCACCCGCGCCACCGGTACCTCCACCACAGCATTCTCTCCCTCTGGGCAGACAGAACCCCTCAGCCGCGCCGAAGAGGAGGAGGAGGGCGATCCTACCTCCGAACGAGGCCGCTTCCCCGCGGGCTTGGACGACGGGTCTCCGAAGGCACCCGGGAGCTCTGGTTCCGGCTCGGGTCGACCGAGCCCATCCCACCGAGGCAGTGTGGTTAGCCACCACTCAGACTTGCCTGGGATCCAAAGCCCGTGCCAGGAGGTCGTAATCTCTGCCCCCGAGGCTCCCGTGCAAGACGAGCTTCGAGCGTCACAGTCCTCCTCGCATGGCATCGAGTCGTCGCGCAACAGAGGCTCAGGGGGGTCCTTGGGGGAGAGGCTCAAG